TGAATAAAAAGGGGAGAAGAGGGTAAGCGAGAAGTGGGAGGCAGAGACAAGATGAGTATCAACCTCACCTACTGTGGCCACTTCTGCCAGCCCAGCATTTCCTCAGGTGAATGAATAAGTGCAGCAAAAGACTTTAGGTTCCTCAAGAGAACCATGAATGCCCTTCCTGAGGACAGGAAGCACCCTATTGGTCTGAGTCACCATACACATCCTTGCTTTGTGTTTGATTCAGTCAGGTATAGTTTGTAAACCATACAGGAGATAGGAATGTCAGGCCTAGAAACTATTTGAAGGACATTTCACTACAATATTTTATCAAAATGTGTATATTCAGGTTTTACTTTTCTGAAGTAAAAACCATTCTAAAACACACACCAGGTCCAAAGCATCACTTGATAATAAGAACATCTCCTAAAGGCCCCATTCTTGCAAACCCGGGTTGGTAAGCACTGGACCAAGTGGATGATCGGCTGCTTCAGCTACTCTGACCTCTGCTGTTTGACTCATGCCACAAACATGCATTTGTTCTTCCTAATATTATGCAAATATTTACTATGTGTATCCAGGCTGGAGATACAATAGTGAATGAAAAACACTCAGATCCAGGCTCACAGGAAGATGCACACATGGCATTTGAACATAGTATGATTTGTGTTCCCTCATGCTTGTATTCACACTGGTCAGGGGCTGTGGCCACCTGTGGTAACCCGAAGAAATTGATGACCTCTGGAATAGAATGATAACATTAGTAGATATAACCAGTTAGAAGCAATTAAACTGATAAATTGCGAATGGTGACAAATGAATATAATTTGTTTATCTGTAGTATAAAAATTGTCAACTTGGAAAAATTATGACAAGTTAGAAATTTAAGCTGAGTCCTGAATAATTATTCTAACCAATCAACCAAAAATTTCCTGACTTTGAAGAATGTCATTTGCCTCGGGATGTGCTTCACCTCCATCAAAGTTGGATGTAAATAAAATTCTGAAGATCAGGACTAGACATGAGAATCAAGAAATGCTTTAACTGGATGTTAGAGTTAGAGCTGGACTTTAAACAACCTGTAGGCATTGTTTCTAATTTATTAATTTAGTTTTTGCATATATATACTTGCAGGTGCACAAAACTGTGTATGTGTTTATAGAGGCTAGAAATAGATGTTACATGCCTCTGTCATGCTCCATCATATTTTGGGAAACATCTCTTACTGAACCTGGAGCTCACTGATTATCTAGAACAACTGGCTTGCAAACTCCTGATATTCTTATATCTCTAGTTTCCAGTGCTGTGACTACAGGTGTCCACTGTCAGACTTAGCTTTTTCATGGGTGGTAGGGATCTGAATTCAGGTCCTTATGTTTATATAGCAAGTACCTCACTGAATGAGCCAACTTCTCAGACCAATGATGTCTAGGCATTTAACAGAGAAAGACAATAAGTGGTGGAAAGATTCTGAGAGGATCACAATCTGAGTAAAGTAATAGAGAACAATTCAGAATTGGTGTTGGAAACCCTACTTCTCTATAGCACAGATTTCAAGATGGGAAATAGCTGATCTGAAAGCTAGAAAGGGCATATGGCCCTTCTTAAATGCAATAGAAATGAAAAACATGGCGAATAACCTACATGTATACAGATGTAGTCATGTATCACTTAAAAACAGGAAATCATTCAGTAATGTCTAGGGATGAATTACACGAGCATTCTCTCTTCCATATTTGCTGGTTCATTGGTGGTGGAGTTCAGATCTTGTTTAAGCAGCCATGTTGATGAGACTTCATAGTTAGAGCCTCTTGACACAGGTAACTGCCTTAGTTAGGGTTTCTATTGCTGTGAATAGACACCGTGACCATGACAACTCTTTTTTTTGTTTGTTTGTTCTTTTTTGTTTTTTAGTTTTAGTTTTTGTTTTTTTTTTTGAGACAGGGTTTCTCTGTGTAGCTTTAGAGCCTATCCTGGCACTCTCTCTCTGGAGACCAGGCTGGCCTCGAACTCACAGCAATCTGTCTGCCTCTGCCTCCGGAGTGCTGGGATTAAAGGCGTGCACCACCCGGCGACCATGACAACTCTTATAGATTTAATTGGGACTAGCTTACAGATTCACAGGTTTAGCCCATTATCATCATGGCAGGACATGAGTAGCATGTAGGCATACAGAGTGCTGGAGAAGGAGCTGAGAGTTCTACATCTTGATCCACAAGCAGCAGAAGCAATTGTGTCACTAGGCATAGCTTGAGCATAGGAAATCTCAAAGCCCACCCCCACAGGGACATACTTCCTCAAACAAGGTCACACCTACTCCAACAAGGCCATACCACCTAATAGTGCCACCCCCTATGGGGCAATTTTCTTTCAAACCACCACAGTAACAAAATTAAAGAAAGATGCCATGCATTTGAGAAATAGAGATCCATTTGCCATTTGAGTTCATGGGAGGGATAGGAGGAAATAAAGGGAAGGGAGAAATGATGTTATTACTTTATAATTGAAAAAAATAAAAAAGAAACATGAACTCATGGAGGCTGTGAGATCATGCACAGAACTTGTGCAAGTCCAAACCAGACCAAATCCCAGCATAGCGAGAGAGGGTGGACACACAATTCCACCCCAAGCTGTGGAGCTGCTGATAATTGTTATCTGCTGGTAGGGGGAGAGGCAGTTTTCTCTAAACATGTAGCCTCTGGTAAGCCAAAAACTCTCCAGTGGAAGATCATGTGACATGGCAAGAGAGTGCAAATGTTTATCCATCTTGTATTCTTGCTGAATCCATTTCAGATTTGAGTAGAATTTGAGCTTCTCAATGGAGACTCCTATAGAAAATTATCCAACTCTATCTAGGAACCCAAGGCCAAGATGTGCTAGTTAATTTCTGTTAAACTGCCTGCTTGTACAAACCTCCCCCTCCATCTAACTACTTATCTTAGCTTCTGTCAGATTGCTTGCTTATGTGAAGACCCCTCTGCAGTAGCCAATAGAGAGAAGCCAAGATGAGTTTTTCTGTCTTTAAAAGTCTTGTGTTCTGAATACTCAGTGGACATTTAGGTTTTGAATACTTGAGTGTAGTCCCATCTGGGTAGAATAAAGACTTTCACTTGGCTCTTAACTGTGTCTCAGGTGGGCTCCCTGCAACAATCACACATCTAGTAATTACTGGCAGTACAAATTGATCTAAAAAAAATTAAACAAACTAACCAAAAAAGAGACTAAGTTGAGAGGTTAGGGAAGGGGAGCAATGAATTGGGGAAGAGTTGAGGGAGTAAATCTGATCAAAACACATATGGGATTTATAATTCAGTTACAATATGGTGGTAAGTATTGTGGAGCTAATCATATATCAGTAGAAAAGGTACAATAAAAAGTACTAGGCAACAGGAATCTTCAGCTCTCTTATAATCTTTAGACTGTATTCAATGACTGAGTGCTGTTATGTGGCATGTGCCTGTATGTGTACACTCATAAAATATCCTGTGCTGGCTAGTTTTATATCAATGTAACATAAGTTAGAATCACTTGGAAAAAGAGAACCTTAATTGAGAAAATTTCACTACCAAATTTTCCTGTGGGACGTTTATTTTCTTGATTGACTATTGATGTGGGAAGGTCCAGCTCACTATAGGAAGTGTCACTCCTGGGCTGGTTCTGGGTACTATAAGAAAGTAGGTTTAGCAAGCAATAGGGAGCACCCACCCCCAGCCTCTGCTGCCTCCAGATTCCTCCCTTGTGTTAGCACTTGACCTGACTTAACTCACTGATGAATTGTGATGTGGAATTGAAATAAACCCTCTCCTCCCCAAGTTGCTTTTGGTCATGATGTTTTTATTTCAGCCATAAAAATGCCACGACACCATTCTACTAACTGAAAATTTCATCAATAAATTTCAATAATAAAGTAGATTTGAACATTAAATAATATTCCCATTCTCTTTTGTAATTCTGAATCCATTCTTACTTGGATTTACTTGGGCAAACCATTTATTTCAGTATTTTTAAATATAAATATCATATTGCAAATTGGAAACATTTTCTGAATTTTTACATTGTATGTGTAGACCAGAGACTATAATGGGTGTTGTTTCTCAAGGACCATCCTCCTTAGTTATTGTGACAGGGTCTCTTATTGTCTAGGAGATTGCAAAGTAGGCTAAACTGTCTGTGAGACCCAGGGAGCTTCCCGACTTTTCCTCCACAGCACTGGGATTAGAGCTGCTTTTCAAAAGGCAAACAAACAAACAAGAAGGCAAGCAAACAAAGAAACAAATTGAATTCTAGGTCTCAACCTGAGATCCCCATGCTTGCAAAGCAAGCACTTTACTGACTAACTCAATTTTTTCAGCACTGCTATAGTACTTCAGATCTTTGTATTGATAAACCAACCTGCCTTGAAAGACATCTTATAATAAAAACAAGCTAGAAAAAAGAAATACTTTAAAACAAATAGCATGAAGGTAAAAATATTATGGAAAATAGCATATTGTTGAACTTGAACTGCTGGAATGTTTTTATTTTGAAATAAAGCTTGATGGTGGGAAACTTTTTACAGTGGAAAAAAAACAAGCTAGATTCATTCCTATTTATGATTAAATCTACTTCTCAAGAATTGGGTTATACACTATCTGTAAACTTAATTACAAATAGTTCTGTACTGCTTGTTCCAGGAAACAGCAACCATGACTTTGTTTTAAAAAGGTTATTGTGACTACCTTGTTATGATTATCTTGTTATGACCACCTTGCAAACATGTCCTCATTTTAGGAGGTTGTTATGACCAAATTGTTATGCTTATGTTCTGCTTCTGTAACCTCACCTATTTGCCAAATTCCCCATTTGGAAACCCTCTACTCCTGAACTATAAAAAAACCCTTATCTTGCTCATATCCAATGCTGATCTTTGAATCTTACCAGGTAATGAATAAAAAAAAATGCTTGCTTTAATTAATTGCTTGCTCTAATTAATTTGGCTATGCTTTGGATTAGTGGTCTTTCTTTTCACATTTGTAGAATTAATGTTTGGAAGCCCCAGTGAGATAAAGGCCCCAACCTTCAATCAAAAACTGAACCCTTGGCACTCTAGGATTGAAGATCTGCTCCATAGGGGGAATACACCTTGGAGATATTCCAAAACCCTGGGGCACAGCTCCAGTTCTACAGAATGTCCAAGCAAAGGGATGCATCAAAGGAGAGCAGGAAGCACCCATTTAAGGAGGCATCCTCTGGTAAATAATAGATAATCTCTGTGACATCTGTTTCTGTGAGATCCTGATCTGGGGACATGGGGACAGTAGTGCCTGATGAAATCCAACATTCCCTCTTCCAAGGCAATAAGAAAGAGATCACCATAGCCCATCTAGTTACTTGAAAGTAGGGCCAGAGCCTCTAGTTCTTTTTCTGAGTGAACTTGCATCCATGAAGATGCCCTGCTGAGACTGAGAACAGAGATGGAAATTGGATAGGCCCACCCCAACTGAATCAGGGAAGCCCAATACTTAGGAAGCTCCTGGGTTTGCAATGCCTGGGTTGTGCAGTTGGTGGTTGAGACAAAGGTTCTTATTTGTTAAAAACCTCCTTTGGTTGAACTGGTGGATCTCTGAATGACCCAATTGTTATTTTCGTTGTCTGTATCATTACTTTTGCTCTGTGACTTGTCTTGTGTTTTGCTTGTCTTTGTGTGTTCCAACTTAGGCAAATGAAATAGACAAAGGACATGGGCAATATGACTAGTAAGCTGGACAGTACTCTGTCTGTGTTTTCTGTATTGGTTTCTTTTTTGTTGTCTCCATTCTTTGTATGTGTTTCTGTGCTCCATTAATCTTTCCCTGTTACAGGAAGACATGGGAGTTGGACCAAGCTCTAGGTGCCACCACTTCCACACCACCAGGCTAGAGTAATGAGGGAACACATCACCCTCTAGCATGTCACCTGGGGCAGCTTTGTGCACTCCCCAACCCAGGCCCAAATCTGCCCCTGCCACTTCTATGGCTACTTTATTATCCAGAGCTAAATATTCCTTATCTTTAAGAAAGGTCACTGGATTCAGTTTAGCAGGAATTCAAATATCTTTAAGTATGGCTAGTGTTAAAATATTGTTTTACACTGTTCTACTGATTTGAAAAGCCAGCTCTGGAATTGGAAAGTTTCTGTCCTCTGTCAGGCAATCTACCTGACTTAATGGTAGGAAAAAAAAAGAAAGAGGCAGAGCTGAAAAAAAAAAATAAACCCAAACCAAAACAAACCAAAACAAAAACCAAATTGAACTATTGGTTTCATTTAACTGCTTAAAACTTTACTAGGATATAAACTTTATCTCAAGATATATATGACTATTATATGAACTTTTTGCATCTCAGTACTTACAAGTTTATTGTATATAGTTGAAAATCTATGGAGTCGGTTAACAAAAGTTGACTTAAAATTTATAACACAGGGTTAATAATTAGAAATTTTATGTAGGTAATCTTACCATTTAGGCTGTAAAATTGAGCATATTGATGGCACCACCAGCCGAATGAAAACTAAGATCCAATTAATTAAGTCTACAGTTCTAGAAATATCTCTGAATGTACTAACCTTGCTTTTTAACTCCTGTAGTTCCGTTTCTGACTAGCTATTCTTGTTAACTGAGATATGTCAACCCAAGATGTAATTATTTTATGCCTAGCAACACAACTTGAGAAAGGCTCAAGGCTACACTGGAATCCCAAATACTCAGTATAATTGTGACTAAAGTTAGGGTCACAATTATAAACATCAAACACTAAACACCAGAAACTGTGATCTACCTATCTTGTGATGCAGCAAGACAATGACCTGAGCAATCTGACAGAAGCCTAGAAAGTGTCTCTCCTTACCTATCATCTATTCAAGCTAATAGAGACTAACTTAGCAAGTATGTCTAGCTTCTTTTTGCTTATTTTGTTAAGCTTTAGTTATTTTGATAAACTGGGTTATAGAAGAAACTATGGTATTCTACAATGGTACACTATGAAAGGACCTGAAAAATAAAGTTGCCAGTCTCCCTCTGAACTGTATTTATGATTTATACTAAAAGAGCTTCACTTCAGTTGGGCGTTGGTGGCTCACGCCTTTAATCCTAGCACTCGGGAGGCAGAGGCAGGCGGATCTCTGTGAGTTTGATGCCAGCCTGGTCTCCAAAGCGAGTGCCAGGATAGGCTCCAAAGCTACACAGAGAAACCCTGTCTCAAAATATCAAACAAAGAAAAAAGAAAAATGAAAGAGCTTCAATTCAAGAATTGTATTTTTTTTTTAAGAATTTAAGTTTAGGGGGATAAAACTGTAGAATCCTAATTTTATAAAATCTACTAACTTGTGGTAAACTGTCAAAGAAAAATCAACATGCAAATTAATAGTCACCTTATAAATGATCAAATTCTTTACAAATACAATTCATTTACAGGGACAAGCTTTATTTAACCTCCTATATATGTTTTCAAAGTTAAACCTAAGCATATAATTAAAAACAAGTTTAGTTAATTTAAAATCAGGTTTACTTAATAGATGGCATTCAAAACTTTTCAGTGATCTGGTGAGTATGACATTTAAAATGTTTAATGAGAAGGAGCTTAACATGATAGAAATGCCAGCTTTTAGTGGCAAGTCTCAGGTCTCCAAAGACGACAATGGGGCACACTGACAAAGCATCCTGGAATGTGGTATCAATAACCACTGGACAACCTGCCTCATGCTGTGCCTGTTGCCAATGTCCTGCACAAACTGTGGAAACTGTTGTGTGGACTGCTCTACTCTGCCTCATCAAGGTGACATCAGTTTCTCCATGTTCCTTCTCCACAGGAAAATCTCTCAGACCTTCTGGTCTGTCAGTCTAAGGCTTATGCTGTTCTAGGCAACTGCTGAAGAGTTAATGCTGTCCTATGTGACAGCAGAAGACCTATGGCAACTGCCCCAACAAAGTAATTGAGACCACAAGAGCCTAGGATAATCACCCAAGCAGTGGTAAGTCTCTGTCATTTGAACTGATTATACTTCCTGCCACAATTTATCCCTCTCAGATCTCTGATGATGTTGACTGGCTAAATGTATGCTTTAACAGCAGCAAGCTAATCAGCTCCTTCCCCAGGGCTGCAGCTGCCTTGTTAGTTCATTTAAATCACGACTGAGGCCTTACTTTTCTGGAGTTGCTAGTACTCCTGCTGAGAAAGGCAGACACAGACAGTTTACCTTACTGGCAGACTTCATTCTGATAAAGATAAACTAACAAAACCCACAGAATTAAGCATTTACTATTGATTTGTTTAAAGGAAGCTTGCTTTACAATAACTGTTCTCAGGAATCAACCATGAAGATTGGGCAAAAAACTGTTAAGGTTTATATAAATTATAAAAAATCTAAACATAATTTAAGTTATAAACATCTGAAGGTATAAAAGCCTAAATGAGTTATTTCTTTCCCCATATGCTATCATTATATTAAGATTTCAAAAATTCAAAGTCTTAACGTTAATCAATGAAGTTCTAATAAGCCAGTGAAGCACTGACTACCATTATCAGTCATAAGCTCACAATTTTAAATTTCCTCTGGTTGTGTTCTAAGTTTAGACTTAAAAATACTTTTCATCATGCTAAAAAAAAAATCTATGTCAAATCTATATAGCTAGTCCTCTGGACAGAAAAAAATGTTCATGCTTTTTAACCCAAACCTGTAGCTCATGCTCTGACTTAAAGGTATGAGTCTACTCCAGATGTTGTGCTTTTTCTACAATATTTCAGAACATTACAAACAATGGTAATGTAAGCTCCAGTGAATCAAGAAAGTCATAAGACTCTCAGGGGTCAAATAGACTCTCAATAAGTACTCCCACCAATTCATAGCCTAAGCTTCCCTGCATATTGTCTACTCCTGAGGGGAAGCTCCAAATATAAAAGTTTCCTTTAAGTTCTTTAACTTCTGTCCCCAGTCTTTATCTGTCTTTGCAGAGTTCAATCAGCTGGTACACACTCTCAAGAAATCAGCTGTGGACTACAAACTGCTCCAAAGGTGATCTACACTACACCAGTTTCATGTTGTCCTTCAAAACCAGAAAGCTCTGGACTTGCTGATAACTGATGTAAACCAGTCAATTCAGTGTGATTTCTCCCTGTATCTTCAGCTAGGTCATCAAACCAAATGCTTCTGATGAATGCCCCAATGCCCTAGTCTCTCTCAGCTTCTGATGAACAGTTCAGCCTTTGTGGACCCTGGCAACCACATTGTATTTCAGCAGAGAAGCAGTTACAGAAGAGAATACATTGGCCTTTATCCTCAACTGAAGGCTGGATATTAGATCAAACAGAAACTCTGTGGCAGAGGGGACAGATGGCTACCTATATTTATTGGCATACCAAGATTATATGTCCTGTGGTGTTTTGAATAGGAATGGCCCCCACAGACTCATGTGTTTGAATGCTTGGCCCACAGGGAGTGGCACTATTAGGAAATGTGGTCTTGTTGGAGGAAGTGTGTCCCTGAAGGCAGGCTCTGAGGTCTTATATGCTCAAGTTATGCCCAGTGTGGCACACAGCTTCCTTCTACTGCATGGGGATCATGGTGTAGAACTCTCAGCTTCTTCTCTAGCACCATGTCTGTCTTCATGCTTCCATGCTTCTTGCCATGATGATAATGGACTAAATCTCTGAAATTATAAGCCAGCTCAAATTCAATGTTTTCCTTTATATAAGCTTCCATAGTCATGGTGTCTCTTCACAGCAATAGAAACCCTATGACATGGCCTTATAAAAATTTGTTCTGTGTTAACCAAATAGATACATGATTGGGCCATGACTCTTTTGATCCATTAAAATTTTGTTTTCTGCTAAGAATGCTAAGATCTGATCAAGGATTTGACAGGGAACCATAAGACAAGGAGGTAATGATAAGCCTATTAAAATAAAATCAAACTAGATTCATCCCTGTTTATGATTAAATCTGTTTCTCAAGGATTGGGCTATACCCTGTTTGTAAGCTTCACTATAAATGGTTCTGTACTGCCTGTTCTAGGAAATGGTAATCATGTCTTTGTTTTAAAAAGCTGTTATGACTATCTCATTATGATCAACTTGTTATGACCACCTTGCAAACATGTCTTTGTTTCAGGAAGTGGTTATGACTAACTTGCTATGCTTATGTTCTGCTTCTGTAACTCTACCTATTTGGCTTGCAACTCTCCT